CGGGATTTGAAGATGTAAATCATGCAATATAATAATCAGTAACTTTGCAAAGATCATAATTTTTATAGAAAACTTTAGCTTGACTAAATTAAGATTGCGTAGGAAACGTTGGTGGTTGAATTGTGAAGGATTAAAAATGTGTTTTCTAAATCTTGACCAAACTTTTCTCATTATGAAAATAATCAGAAAAAAACTAACGCCTCTTCAGGTACAATAATAACTTACATTAAAAAACCGTGACGTGCATTTTCAGATTTCAAGTTTTGGTTTTTGACCCATTATTGTGATCCTCATGTTATCATTTACGCCAGACTGGGTGATACGGAAATTAACTATTGAATAGCATTCTTCGGACCGAGCTGATCATTTACGCGAGACTGACTGATACTCAATTTCGGTTTTGGATGACACTCATTGAACCGAATCGAACAAATTTGATCAGAAAAAATTTTGATCAGAATCAAGAAATCGAATTTGATATAATAATTTCAGAACTTCTCCAGTTTCGGCATCTCGACTTATTCCTTTATCTATATTTACATTTCTCTTGAACGTTTGAACTTTTGCTATTTGATTTTCCGCAGATCTTTCCCTCACACACTCTCGGTGGAAACTATGGCAAAAAAAGTAAGATAGTATCTTCCTATTTCATAAATCTCAAAATATGGAACCAATCGGATTAAATTCAATAGGGTCTCTCGTCAAGGAAAAACCAAATAGAAATCCTTAAATTGAAAAAAAAAAAACTTCAGAAACGGATCTGTTTCGGGGACGTCATCAGCGTGGACTTTTGCTGACATCAAAACATAATAAATCTTTTCTACGGTATTTAGTTGGTGAATGTATGCCTCCAAAATTCTTTGCGACTACTTGAAAAGGTCTCGAAGCCCGAATTGTGTTCAAAAAAACTAAAATGGTTTTTTTTGTCATAAAATTCTAAGCCGGTACTGTCCTCGTGACGCGCATCCAAGACAGATCTGAAGGAAAAATCATTTCTGTTTTTTAGCTTTTCGCATTCTTACACCTCGTGAGATGTACCGCTTATACTACACACATTCAAACTTCACGAACAACATCTTTCACGGAATTGTGAATAAAAAAACAGAGAAAAAGTCCTAGATAGAAACAAATCAGAGCATCATTCTTATCTTTACTATTAACAATCACCAAATTCTGTCTGTATGTCCGTTTGTTCCCGGTTCCACGACCCTAGCGAAGTCCCCAGTAGACCAAAAATTCTCAAATTTTCACAGATGATCAGAAATAGCAGCGAGATGTTGCCCGTCTATTTTTCATTTTGAAATTTTGGTTCTGACGTCATCTGGAGACGGTACTCCATTCCTACAGTGCAACTCTTTAGAAAATAATTTTCACGTCACTTCCGTCCAACCCCTCTATTTTTTTTCTTATTCACACTATATCTGATAAAAAGGTGATTTTGGGAAAATAATTATTTATTATCAGTTTTGAAAGTAGAGAGAAAGAAAAATTTCAGAAAATTTGAAAATTCTGACTTTCTGAATCCCCTAACTTCTCAAAAACTGAATTTCGGAGATTCTGATTCACGAAATTTGATTATTTTTTTCGAAAATGCGAAATTTCTAACCATTCCTATGCTTCAAACATTTTGGTTTCACTCTGAAATTCTAAAATTCTAATTCAGGAATTCGGAAAATTGGAAAAACGGGAACTCGAAAATACCGAGATTTGAAACTTCGGAAATCCAGAAGTATAAAAATTCAGATATTCGGAATATTACGAAATTTAAAAATTTGAAAGTTAGAACACTCGAAATTTTGAAAATAAAAAATCTCGAAAGCAAAAAACCAGAAAAACCAGAAACTCAGAAGTTCAGAATATCAGAAAGCCCAAGTTCGGAATTTAGAAAATTCGGAAATTCATAAACTTTGTGAATCAAAAACTCAGAAATGTGTTTTATAGAAAATTCTGAAAATCTGATTCGTGTTAAAATTTTTAATTTTGGGAATTTGTGAAGTAGAAACTCAGAAAGTCGGAAATACGGAAACTCGAAAATACGAAATTTCAGAAATTATGAGTTTTGAAATGAAGTATTTTAATAGAAAAATCTTTGAGTTCTAGAATCGCAGTTCCGAAAATTCAAGACTCCTGAATTTCGAAACATCTGAAAAAATTATAAGTTGTTAAATTTCAAGATATTCGGGAATTCAGGAAAATTATTAGTTCTAAAAATTTGGAAATGTTGAACAGTTCGTGTATCAACTAAAACACATTTCTGATCTACATTTCTGATTTATCTGTCCAAGCCGAAACTCAATCGGTTAAGGCTGTTGTAAGCGGGAGCCAGAAGGTTTAGCCCCGAAGGCCCATAAGCAGACTGTCACTCCAGTTTATGAAAGTTGACAACACAATCAATAGAAATTGACGTCACATTTAAAAAAGAGTGAGTCGCGAAGCGACGAACAGTAAAAGAAAAAGGTTTATTCCAGCTGTTTGAAGCGCCGGAGGCGCGGCAAACAGGCTGGTGTTAATAGTATAATTATCAAAGAGCGTAATGACCTTCCTTGCTGGTATTTTAGAGTGAGTAGTCAAACTTCATAACTGCTTGATCCGGCAGCTGAATTTTGCTTTTATCAAAAATTTCTACACCCCATTGTTAATTTTTGAATATTTGAAATCACATTTCGTTTCCGGAACGGTCAAAATGTTCGAAGTTAAAATAGTTGAACCTTTTATTCCCTTATATTTTGAAAATCGATTTCCGCTGAACATTTTACCTCATTTCATGCAGTTATCACCGACATTTTTTTCTTTCATGGAAGTCACCCTCTAATAGAAGTCCACCGTAACTGTGCAGTTCGTTTTCGGCTCCGGGACATTTCGCAAGCGGACATTTCGAAACCGCGACAATTCGAAAGCGAGACATTCCGAAAGCGTGTTAAAGGAGGCCAGTCACGAAAGTTTACGGAGTTTTCTTGGAGCGAGATCATGTATTCTGACGGAAAATCGTGCGATTGCGACCCAATGCGCGCTACTTGACGAGCATTTATTTTTTTAGAATACACTAGTTTTCTTCACTGTTTGGCAATTATTCCCTACTTTTTCTTGTTATTCGGTCATTCTATGATGTCGCCGCATGAAAACAGAAAGAAAAACGAAAACGAACTGATGGGAATCGAACCCGCGATGCGCGACTGATACACAGGTAAAGGGGGACTGCCAAAAAACTGCTAAATGACAGCTGAAGAGGCGCAAACTGGCGAATGACTGCTAGTTGGCAGCCGAAGGAGAACTGACGGGCCGTCGACGGTCCGTCGACGGACAGTCGGTACCGATTGGAAAACATACTTGAAGGTTCTGATTGGAAATCATGCAGAAAACAATTTCTCATACTCCCACTAGATTATAGAATGTTGATAGAATCTTATTTTCCTCAAATATGACCACCTCAAAAAATAGGTTGTTGAACGACTGCTAAATGACAGTCGAAGAGGCGCTGACTGGCCAACGACCGGGTGTTGGCGGTCCAAATTCCTTCAGAATGGAAAATTTTGTTGAAAAAATAGTTCTCTCTAAAAACATCATAAAAGTCATAGAGAGGTCTGGGAAGCTAAAAAATGCGTTATTAGAAGCATTTCTATAAAAATTAGGATTTGAGGCGCGGTTGGTGAAAAACTGCTAAATGACAGTCGAATAGGCGCTGACTGGTTGATGGCGGCTGAATAAAAAAATATGTTTGAAAATTCCTTGGTATATATCTAGAAGCATGTGTTAGCATTTTCGTGTTCCAAAATCTTTACTCGAGTTGTCATCGCATGATAATAATCAATCGTTCAGGACACATGTTCTCGGTCATATTTTTCAATTTGCTTAAGATTTCCGACGAAATTTGTTTTTAATTTTGTACAATTTGTGTCTGAATGTGCTATTTTTTCCGTTTTTCTTCAAAAATCACAACAATTCGTTTTTAAATGCCGTTTTATAACTGCCGAGTTTCAAAATTTCGGTTTGCAACGACACTCCGAAATCCCGCAACGACACTCCGAAATCCCGGCTGCGCCTTGTTTAGCGGCACAAGACTTTACTAATTTTTCGTCTTTTTTTCAGTTTCTTTCGCTTTTCGAAGTGTTCTCTTATTGAAATTCAGTATTTTTCGCTTAATTTATCTAACTACTGGCATAAAGAAGCACTGAAAAGCTTTGCGCACTTTCGCTCTGCGCGTTTTTAGTCGAAAACGCAGAAAAAATCGGCGAAAACTCCTTGCGATGAAAGTTTCGAAAGTTTCGCTATTTTTTGCTTCGGAACGTTACAAATGCAGCCTTTCAGGAGTTTTTATATGGTGAGTTGGTAAGTTTTTATACGTTCCGAAGCAAAAACTATCGTAAACTCTGAAATTGTTCATGCGTTGTCGAAAATTCACCTCGCCGATACTTCATAGGTGTGACGTTTTGCAAGTGCAATGTTTGGAAAGTAACAACTTTGCAAGGTTCGCACAAAAATTAATACGAAAATCAGTTTTTGCTGTTTCTGACTTGTTTTTTAAATTTCACATGCGAAACGTCGCCCTTTTGAAGTCTGCTTTAAAAATGCCGCAGAGCCTAAAAATCTAAAGATTTTTTACTTGCCAGTTTTTAGTGTTGCGAACGCATCAATTTTATTTATTTTGAACGTACTTATAAGCGAAAAATACTGTTCAATGAGAGAAATGTACATACCGAAAAACGAAAAAAGTTGAAAGGGAGAAACGAAAGAGAAAGAGAACGAAAGGAAATAAAAAAAGCTTCTGATTTTCCGAGTTGAGTTTCTGTGAAGTTTGAATTTTGCGAAAACACAGAAAGAAAATCGGAAGTTCTGTCTCATTCAGAACTTGTGATTTCTTATGTGTTTTCTCTTGCTCTACTCATAAAAGTTCACCTTTGAAAAAATCAGAGTTACTTTTTAAAAACAATACACAATCCACAGAAACTGTTAGTTGAATAAAGAATTTCTATTGTTTATTACCTGTTTAATGATGAACTGTCAAGAAGGCGCTATCATTATAGACGGTCCGTCTTCGAGGCGCAAATCGTTACAGACGGACCGTCGGCGGCGCGCGATTCGACTGCCGACTGTTCGCTTTTCGGCAGTCCGCGCCCGCCAGACGGCCCGTTTTTCGGCTGTCCCCCTCTACCTGTGTAACCAAGCGCGCCCCCACTACACCACAAGCCCTTTGTCGTCTGCTGCCGGAAAAAACGATTATGAAACGAGGAGTTGGCGCCGCTTCGAAGAACGGCCGCGTTCTTACTTGTACAGTAACAAGGAGTTATGGTTTGGTGTCCATTGTTATTTTCTGACTGTACTATGTGATATATCAAAAAACTAGAATTTTGAAAATTTTCATGTCTGGCCTCCTTTAATACAGGCGAATAGATGAATTTCAGACTACAAAACGAGTTGTAGTGTTTTCGAGTACCGTAAAACCTCTAATAGAACGACACCCGGATCGTCCACTTTGAGCATATATATATATCTCATTTTCTGTGAAAGATATCAAAAAGTGGCTAACTAGTAAAATGTTGCTGATATCCTGATAAACATTTTATTAGTTAACCACTTTTTGATATCTTTCATAAGAAGTGAGATATATAGGCTCAAAGTGGACGATCCGGGTGTCGCTCTATTAGAGGTTTTACGGTATGTTTTTTTTGTGATAGATTCTGAAAATCGGAAAATTCGAAAAAAAATTTTTTTGAAAAAACTAAATTTTCACTTTCGAAATGTCCGCTTGTGAAATCTACCTGTCTTTATCAGATAGAATACGGTATTTGTACATTTTAAAAATCTTTTTATACCTTAAAAATAAACCCAAATGAATCCGAAAACGCGCTTCTGAAATAATTCCCAGAAATTCAGGTGCACGAGTCCTCGGATTCTTCGCGGTCATTTGATTTATCTCATGATCTTCACACATATTCGAAATAGCGGTGGAAAAAAATGAAGATTGCATCAATTACTGTTTTTTGGTCCTGTTTTTCGTTTTCAGATAAACGCCTGAATGTTTCTCAAAAGGAAAAATGCATGTATATGTAGAATGAACGTGGTGATGGAGAATAGTTTTTAGAAGACTATGTACACAAGGGATATAGGAAAAAACGGTTTAGATTGGAATCATCGGATGGTGTAGAAGGAATAGGATGTTTTTTGATTTCAGATAAATCTTACAGTTCCACTCAGAAAGTGCAAAAGATTACAATTATTTTTGGTTGATACCGTTATCTTGTATTGTCCACATCTTTGTTCGCACCGATGGGCCTGGTACGTTGTTTCAAAATTGAAATTGTGAGGAAAAAGTATACCAGATGATAGAGCTCGGAGAGCTATACAGCCTACAATAAGAATCGACCGACTTCGAAAGCGGTATTATGGTCCGAGCCTGCATTTTTTAGCCGTCGAACGATTTTTGCCCAACCAGGCTATTAAATGTCGGCCGGCTCCGCTTACTGATTTCAATTCTGCTCATTTTTTTGGAGTTGTTTATCATAATGTCAAAAATGTATATTTTACTGGAAAGATATATTCTCTCTTTCTGAAAACTTAATTCCAGAACAGATATTCCTTCCAAAATGTAAATGTAGATTGCCCGTTTATCTGAAATTTTATATCGGAATACGACCGTTTTCATCTCATCCACTTTCTCAGATCTTCATAAAAAGTTGGGCCCGTTCTTCGCACGATTTCTATCTAGACGAGATATGTGTCGTGTGTTTTGGAAATAGCTTCAGGTAGTACTTAAAATAGACAAAAAATTGAAAAAAAGGTCAGACGAGATTGTAGGGTGAAATAAAAGCGGTGGTGAGGCGGTCGAAAGAATTCATTTATAGCTTGGTCGAGATGTTTTAAAGTATATTACCGTTCGCATAAATAATAATCGACCCATAAAGAATGTAATAATGTTCCACTTCACTTTGTTCTCTACAATTGTTTAATTTTATGTTTTATATTATCTTCACTAATGAAATTTTTTGAATTTGTTCATCACCTTATTGGTTTTTTTTTGTTGAGAACACATTTTTATGAAACAGAGTTCTTGTAGTTTGAGCTTCTCAAAGCATCTTTCTGTTAGATTTCTTATAACGTTTCGACTCTCAACAAACCTTAAAGATTTTCAATAACGCTTGTAAAATTAATTGGATAAAATTTTCAGTTACTTTTTTTGAAAATTACTTTTCCAAACTTTTGTGATTTTTCCTAAATATACAGCACATGTCACAAACTAGCAAATTGGCATATATTTCATAAAACACCGTAAGATTAGTCTTAGTATTGTTGAATTTAAAAAAAGTAGTCCAAAGAAACTGGTCGGGGCGCGATTTCTGTCCAGTTTCTTTGGAACCCAGTAAGCACCTCAGAATTTGAAAGCCGTTGTTTGTTTTGATTTATGTATAAGGCGGCGCTGAAAAATCTTAAAATTTCAGACTTTTGCCTCGTTCGGTCGATTTTCACAATAAAAAATTAGTTTTTGAACAATAGATTCTAGAAATGCTGGCGATCATATTTCTATCAAAAAATCTAAATCTTGTTCAGAAAACCAAATTAAATTCACAAAAATTGGTTTCGCTTAATACAGTATTGGTTTCGGAGGTGGGCCTCGTTAATCGATACGAACGCCGCCCGTGAAATTTCTAGGTGCCAGCTTTTTTTAAATTTGAAAATAAGCGAGTTTTCAAAAATCGTGTTTAAATATCATAGTTATTGGTTTCAGTTATTCAGTTATGGTAAAATCTATAACAGAAGAGCCTCTATACTTTCTCTTTGAGCTCGATTATCTGAATTTCTGTATGAGATATCAAAAGTCTGTCAACAACTAATAAAACGTTTATCATAATTTCACCAATATTTTATCAGTTGACCACTTTTTTTTGTATCGTTGACCGGAACCGAGATAAATTGGTTCAAAGTTAAAAGTTAGGGGCCATTCTATTACAGGTTTCACTGAACATTATTCTAGTTCAAAAAGCCAACATAAGCCGTTCATTTTTAAGATGATCATAAGTTCGTCCAAAAAATTATTGAAGATATCCTCCTTATAATTTTTCCAATGTGTGTTTTAAATTTTTACGGATAGCATCTCTACGTCACTTCTCCACCTGAATCGGATTGTGTACACAGTCACACCAACCTCTAAATTATTGATGTCTCAAAGAAAGCCTGCAAAAAGGAGGGAAAAAAATGGTCGGAACCCTTACACGCTTATGACCTCACTGACGCGGGATGGGCGGGCTGTGGATTCACTTATAAGAAGGTGTGAAAATTATGATACGCTAAGCAAATCGCGGTTATTCATATTCCATCTGATTTGTCATTTGACACCTTTAATCACAATATGAGCGGATCTTCAGGATGTGAGTTTTAAAGTTTTGGCCTATTACCAGAATGTTGACCTAAAGATTTTTAAAAAATTTTAAGAGTTCCGAAAATTATGTGGGATCAATTTAAAACTTTTTTCAGCTACACCATCTTCACCTGGAATGTGCCTAGTTTGTAGACTATCCTGTCGAACTCACTTCCACTTTGGTGGAGCTTCGTGTACAGCCTGTGCTTCATTTTTCCGAAGAACAGTTTCCCTGAACATTAGATATGTGTGCAAGCGAGAAAATGATTGTATCAGCTCACCGGAAGTTCGGAGCATCTGCCGAGCATGCAGATATGATTGTTGTATAAACAAAGCTGGAATGAACCGGGATTGTAAGTAGGAATACATATTTCAACTGTGAAAACTATTTTCAGTGGTGCAACAGAGGAAAAATGACAAGAGAACACCGAAATATGTTTTGAATTCCAGGAACGAAGGAGGGGAAATAGTGAGAGGTAATGTAATTTTTCATAACTAAAAAAAGGCCCTTTTAATATTTTCTGAGTGAAATGTCAGCATGAAAAGACAGAAGGGGCCCATGGGTAAAAATTATGTCTAAGTGAAGGTTTTTCGATTTTTTCAAGTTTTGCCATTGTTTTTATGAAAATTTCGTACTTTGTGCTTGTTTCCATAAAAATGCATAACTTCAAAAAAAGTTCAGTTTAGGTCGTTTTTTCCACGAACAACATTTTTTTTGCTTTTGAAACTGTGTAATTTCAATTTATTAAGCTGATATTTGATTAATTTAGGCTTAGGAACAAAAGAGTCATACAAACATGTATAAAAATGACATAAACTGAAAATTTCAAAAAATGATGAAAAATGTTCAAAGCACGAAATTTTAGTGGAAATAACCACAAAACTTGGAAAAATGGGTAAATCTTAACTTAGGCATAATTTTTCCATTTGGGCCCCCCCCCCCCCCTTTCTCATGCCCCCCCCCCCTTGTCATAAAGAGCCGAAAAATTAACATGACAGTGTGAGGCCTTTCTATTACAGGGTTTTTGCCAATTAAAATAATCAAACTATTCCAGACTACACCACAAACTCTTATACAACGTTACACGAGTTCTCACAAGGAGAACAATCAGAAAGCAGTCCATCTCCTTCAGTGAGCAGTGAAGGGAACGAAGAATTCAGCAAAATTCTGGATGTAAGCCACGGAGAGCTTTTAAACTACTATGTAAAACAAGTAGAGCTTGCCAAGAGTGCAAATGTAAAGGTAAATTGATTTCAAATTATTTTTTTCATGTCGTTGGCAGTTTTAGAATACTCTTCTGGTAAACAATATTGAGGAACTTCTGGAGGTAATAAACATTCAAAGCGAGTGGGCACTCGACGCTTGTACGATGTGTCCTGGAGTTGATATTCTCGATCGGGATGACATCGTGGTTCTGCTTAAATATTTTGAGTTTGCCAATATTTGGATTGATTCACTCTGGGAGTATTCTACCTCATTGAACAAAGAAGGTTCGATAGAAAATGCGATGAAACTTGTAATAGAAGGGCCCCCCACACTGTTCAGTGTGAGCTTATTTTTCTTTGCTCCTGTGCAAAATATCAAAAATGTGTAGCTGACAGAAAATATTTTTGACATTATGATAAACAATTTATCAGTTGAGAACTTATTCTTATCTTTTTCAAGAACCGAGAGCTCTGAGATCCAAGTTGAATGTTCGGGGGCCATGATAAAAATTATGTTTGAAACTTTGAACAAATATATCTCGGTTCCTGTGAAAGACATTCATTAATTTTTAAAGCAAAACTGTTTGTCTTGAAATCAGAAACATTTCATCAGTTAAACATTTTTCGATATATCAAACAGAAATAGAGATAATTAGGTTCAAATGGAGCCATCTTTTAAAGGAGTTTCACAGATTTCAAAAAAAAATTCAAGTATTTTTCAAACGTGACAAAAATATTTATTTGTTTATAAAAGAAATCTACGTAACAAAAAATATATATAAACTTTCGAAATTATAGAAAAAAAACGCTGCGTGGTATAGCAACCCACGACCCTAGTTGGCCCATTGACCTCAGGAAGAGCACTATAAAGGAAGAGAGAAGTGAGAAGAGGCCCTGGGGGCTTGGGCCTGGGGGCCTGGGGGCCTGGGGGCCTGGGCCTAGGGGCCTGGGCCTGGGGGCCTGGGCCTGGGGGCCTGGGCCTGGGGGCCTGGGACTGGGGGCCTGGGACTGAGGGCCTGGGACTGCCGGCCTGAACATTCCAAATTTTTTTCCAATCCATGCCAAATCGAATTCCACCACATTGGAGCTT